GCTTTCAGGAATTCATTCATTCTGCAGCCTTTCCCCTACATATGGCCAAAACCCTATTGCATAGCTATGCAAATAACGTAACTATTGGCCCCAAGTTAAGAAATCACCAGAGACATAATCAGTTGCATGGTGAATGACTTTTGCTGGATTTCAGCCAATATCTACACTGATTTAGTAGCTTAAGGCACTTTGCCTCTAAAAGTGACACTGTTTCCATTATCCCAAGGTACCTAGACAAGAATTATGGGGCCATTGTGTTATGTTAGAATAGCTGTACGTTTTCAAAGAACGTACGTAGCTGTACGTTTTCAAAGATTTTCCTCCCAAAATCCACCTTCCTACAGAAAAACAAAACTTTCGGTTTAATTTGTATGATCTATTGTATGTAGCTTTGACAAGCTATTTCAATCTATAATCATTTCTGATTTCTTACGTAGCTATGACAGCACCTCCATTTGTTGCTAAATTCTCCATTTTATGTTCTGTTAGTCTCTTTAATATACTGGACTCTTTGCTTCCTAGTAATCAGGAAGTGGAGAATGGGATATTCTGAGTATCTGCCACTTCCATATCAATAGATAATAGAAATCTGTCTAGAGATTTACATGTTTACTATTGGCACAAGTAGAAATGTGAAGCACAATCCTATATGTGTCTGCTTAGATCTGAATTCCATGTTCATCAATTGGTCTTACTCTTAGGTGAATGTAGGAGTGCAGCCTTTGTTTTTATTACTTTCCCAAATCCAGGTAAACTTTAGAGAACAATATTATTAAACAGATGGAAGAATGAGATAAATCCTTACTCGAGATTCTTATATTCTCTCCTGTACTCTCTAAATTGCTTTTCATCTACAACATAAATGCAAATATGCTTATTTCCCACCTGACACTTGCATACATTTGTGGCAGAGTGTCCCTGCTTAACCTTCTGTTCTTTAGATGGCACCTTCTTCCTGTATCTCTTCCAAGGTAATGAACTACAGTTTATAGACCCAAGATCAGTGTTCACTGAATAAACTATTATTTACAATTTATTTCATTGTACAGTGGTGCCTCGAATAGCGAGCGCTTCGAATAGCGATAAAATCGAATAGCGATTAGTTTTTCAGGGCATTTTTGCACTTCTATTAGCAATGGTCCCTATGTGCGATTTTCGATTAGTGATAGTTTAAACAACCTCGTGTTCTGTTCGCTACAGTACAGTATTTTAAAAATGTTCTTGCACTCACCGGCCCCCGGGGGCTGAGGGCTGGCGGCCTCGGAGCCGTCACTGTGGGCTGAGAGCTTGTGGAGGGCGGGCGAGCGGGGCCCCGGTGCTGATGGTGCTGGAGGGGCCTGTCGCCAGGCAGCTGGGAAGGGCCCTGGCGCGGCCGTGCGCCTGGCTCCCCGTCTCCCGCTCCACCTCCTCCTCTTCCTCCGAGGAGGCGGCAGCAGGCACTCATCCCCAGGCCAGCAGCGAGCGATGCTTTGGCCGGCTCGCTCCTCCCAGGGCGGTGGCGGCCACCCATCTCCCGGCGGCTTGGCTGAGCCTCCTCCGGCTCCGGCTCCTCCTAGCGGCGCTGGGGGTCGAGGGAAGAGAACAAAGGGACCCGCCGGGCGCCCCTTGGCAGGCAGGGACGGGCAGGCGGGTGGCTGTGACGCGCCTTCTGGGCTGGCTTCCTCCTCCTTCCTCACTGGCTGGCTTTGTTCTGACTCTTCTTTAATTTATTGTTGATTCCCCCCCCCCTTGAGATGCATTGAATAGGTTTCAATGCATTTCAATGGGGGAACCGCGTTTTGATTAGCAATGTTTCCCATGGAGATTTTTGAATAGCGACGGCAATTCATTCCTATTGGAACGGATTAGCCGGTTTTCAATGCATTTCAATGGGAAACCGCGTTTTGAATAGCGATGAAACACATTAACATCGCTATTCGAGGCACCACTGTATTTGGTTGTAGTTGCAGGTTGGTTGTTTCTTCTCTCTTTTATATGAATATTGTGTGAAGCATGATTATAATCAACAAACATCAGTATTGTTTTAAAAATGATTACAAGATAATCAAGCTATTGGGTTAAACAAGTAGCAGATCTCTCATTTTAAAACACTTATCATGGTAAAAGCTAAAGGGTGCATTTGAGCTGTCCAAATAAGATTTTGAGGGAATTATATTTAACACAAGGGTAGATGAAATTAAACTATCCACGAAAATATTGTGAGCACAGTATAGCTCTGATATAGTTTCACCAGAACTTCAGCTTCCAGTATCCACAAAATATTGCTTCTTCTTGAATATATCCCCAAACACGATCCAAAGTAGAGCTGAACCATAATTGGTTTCAGAGAGAATCCAGTGAATTTTGTTTCATAATACTTGGCAGTTTGGATTGCTATCTTTTCACCTTTGACAGATAATCTTTAACAACCACAAGCGGAAAGAATACAACAGGTAGCATATGACTAAAACTTTACCTGTTAAATTTCTGTCATTGGCAAAAGAAGAAACGCTTATGTTGTTTACAAGACCCAAATCTTGAAGTCTTCAGTATCATCTGCAGCAAGTTTTTTTGTAACTGCATGTCAGTCAACACTGATGGAGAAGCTTGAATTTAGCAACAAATGGAGGTACTGTCATGGCTACATAAGAAATAATCTTACTATATGCTTTTGAAAAGAGGCAAGTTGTCTGTTGAAGTGTAGCATCTGTCAGCAGGGCAACCTTCAACATAACTCTCATTTTATAGAGACCAAATCTACAAGAACACGTCTGATTTGATTCCAAGCTCAACATCATGGCAGGTATTTTTAAAGATTTCTTATGCAGGGCCCACATCTTTTACATGGGGCATAGACTACATTTCTATGTAGAACAACATAGGTAGTTTTATAGCCTGTAATGCATCTCTCATTTTATCTGTGGCTGTTTGCCTGTTTAAAGACCTTTGATCACACCACATGTATTAATACAGGTAGACTTTGTGTGCAAGGCTTTCCTTTAGGCTTGGGGTGGGGAACATCTGACCCTTCTAATGTTCTTGGATGAAAGTACCACCAAACCTAGAGAGATCAAAATTCTATTTAAATTAACAATTCTGATTTTAAAAAACCAATGATTTTTTAAAAAATCTGTTCTGATGGAAAGTCCTACTGAACTCATCTACAATGAGTTCTGGATAATTTATACAGCATAAAGTCACATACAGTAGGACTTAACCCCAGGTACAAATGGACTGTAACTAGAGATGACAATGATTCACAATTTTGGTGAGTCATCCTGCTTCATGAGTTCTCGAAAGTTGACGACTCACAAAGCACAAAGTTGTCCCATGAACCGACAAATAACAAATTTGTAGATTTGTGGGGGGTTACTAAAAAAAACACAAACTTCTCCCCCCTGACTGCCATGTCACCCCCTCCACCTCCCCATACAAAGAAAAAAAGAGCCATCCAATGGCTTTTCCATTCTGCCCACCGGCCCGCCGATCAGCTGATTGGCAGGCTGATAGGCAGCCATCCACCACCCACAGGCTACCCCAACCCCTTCCTTAAAGCAGGCTAAGGGAACCCAGACTGCCCTTTGCAAAGATGGCAGCAGCAGCTTCCCTCCCCTAAATGATCTCTAGTCACCAACAAATAAGAGCAGACCGAAATCATTTTGATACTCTCTTTAATCCTACCATGTTTCTCGGTCATATTGATACTACCAGTCAAAAAGCATTGTGTACCTCTTCCGCCTCTGTGGGTTCTTCTTTTCCAGTAAGTAAATAGATAGGGAAAGCAGTTACAAGCAGATGTCACCTGAACCTCCTGCAAAACTTTGGTAATGTGCACAATTTCAGGATAAACCCATATCTGAAAGAACAGCTAGTTATCTGATAGCTGAGTCATGGCAACTGGACTTTTCTTATTAGGCTGAAACATTTCACTGCTCACCCAAGTAGACTGAAGAAGCTAATTGGATGAGTAGAAATATGTTTCAACCTAGTTCAGAAAGAAGTCCAGTTACCATGACTCAACTTCCAGATAACCTCACCTGGATGACTGAGAATCTTCACTGATGCAATACCTTGTTAGCTTGGGCAGGTTTTTTTTTTTCCAAATGCAGCTCTCAGCATGGCTCAGTGAATGATGAAAGGCAATGGGGTATTTAGTTCTTTGATTGTCTGGAAGGCCATAAGCTGCTCATTGGTGTTACAGGACTAGTAATTTGAAGTTCTTCAGTACAAATCTATAATTCACTATAAAAGAAAGTCAGCCTGAAATCAAAAGGCTTACACGTGTTTGTTTTGCATTCATCAAGTTGACTTCATTAACTTTGTATCCTGTTCACTCCCACAAGACAGGATGCTTACCTATAAGTGTGGTTCTTTAAGTGGACTCTTAGGACAGATTCCGTTATGAAAAAATAGAAGACCATCAAACCTGTATGAAGCACCATCACTACTATGCAGCAGTGTAGTATGAGGTCACCTACGGATCTACTGTGAGCAATAAAACTTGGCAGGTAAGTGCATGTAAACTATTCCCTTCTGTTTTGACAATAAGCTCATACAGGGTGTAATGGGCAGCCAAGACATCACCTGTCTGTCACAACTGGGCAGTGAGTCATCAGCCAATGGTGTGATGGAGGGTGGAACTTAAGGGGAGGAGCTAGTATAAAAAGGGGGGGTTGAAGCGTGTGTGACAGAGGAGATGAGGTTTTGAGCTGAGAGTTTAAAGTGATGAGGAGTTATAGTGAGTGAGAGAGCCTGTCAGTGTGAAATAGTCTGTGAGAGCCAGTGATTTATTTACAGTGATTGACTTATTGATTCTTTACCAATGATTTACTATTTTTATTTCCTGTAATCAATAAACCATTTTTTTTTGTTTTTCAAAGTTACACTTGTCCTTCGCTTGATTTTCAAGGATAAGTTGGTGGCAGCAGAGTTTTAAAGTAAAGTAGCAACCACTCTTTTAGGTTTGAGGGTGGCTGTTACACAGGGTATCCTTAAAAAATAAAGACTCTTCATAGGTTCCAATATTTTATTGAATATATCAATCTTTCATAACTGATTACAAAGTATATTAAAATTCATTCATCTTAAATGCATTGAAATAAAACTTCTATCGAAAACTAAATTGAGAATGTGAAAAAAATGCTGAAGGACAAATGACACAGATAAACTCCAACACATACACATTATTTCATTGACAGATTGCGGTAGTGTGAGAGCCAACCAAGCCAAGCAATTTTCTACTCCCCCCCGCCGTACTTTTGAAAGACCTGAAAAGTGCCAAGAACCAAGGCCACAAAAGACACTTAGAATGCACATTGGGATATGTTAATGCTGTCATCTGAGGCTTTTTAGAGTTAGATAAAACACCTTAAAAAAAGAATGAGCAGAAAATACCAGTTTGAAGGAGGGAGAAAAGAAGGAATGTTCATATATATAATCAAGATGGATTTGCAATCAGAAGATGGCACTTGATCACAACCCTCTTAAAGTATCTTCCAGAGAAGAGTCGTACAGCACACACAGTTTGAAAAGATTAATACCCAGTGGTGTATTGGAGATGAATGGTTCAGCATCCTGGGATAATCTTCATCCCTGGACCATTTTCTGCCCACTGGAAGAAGTCACACTGCTTCTCCTTCCCCAGAGGGCACACAAAGAAATTCTTTCCATTATTAGGGCCGATCTTCAACACTGTCCTCATAATGCAGCGCTTCGCATGATTGCAGAAGGGAAAATGATGGTCTGCCCACTGTAGAGAGAAATCATTCTCCTTTAGCATCAGATGCTGTAGACAAGTTCCACTTTTAGACTGGTGGCAAGAAAATCTGCTTTAATTTGGCCAGGTAGGTGGCAACCAATAATAATCAAGGTAAACTGCTTTCTCTCAAATTTGCCGTGTTTCATTTCCCGCACTCTACTGGCTTGACTCAGTGGGAGGACAGGGTTTTTTTAAAAAGATACTTATCTCACTTTGGAAGCAACGTGAGTTTAATTTACACAAGTAAAGTTCTGATCGCCCATGGCTGCAAAACAATCGACCAAACTCTACCATCGTTTCATTTCAGAATCTGAAGGTTAAAATGACACTATTGCATTAGTTAACATACAACATAGCAGAGACCATTGTCCCAGCTGAGCTAATGGAGAATTAAAACAACGAATTGGACCTTGCCCACTGTATGTGATAACCAGTCCAATGCTTGCTCAGATATTAGGACCATGCCTTCCACCGTCAAAACTTAAATTTAGCACATAAAAGAAAATAAAAAACTTCTACCAACATCTATAACCTCCATTCTTCCAACCCTGAGCTCAGGTTAGCTAGAAAGTCTAAAAAGGATGCTAAAACATGATGTACACAGGATGTGATCTAGTAGGCTAGTCACATGAGGTTCAAAACTATGAGATGCATTTAGAGCAGTGGTTCCCAGTCTTAGGTCCCCAAAAGTTCTTGGACTAAAACTCCTGAAAGCCTTCACCACTACCTGTGCTGGCTAGGATTTCAGGGAGTTATATGAAGACTATATGGGGACCCAGGGTTTTTAAAGCCACACTGGGTAGGTATCACTTTTCAGACTTATTAGCGGCATCAAGGGGTAGTCCAGCTTCGCCTTCTACCTACTTACATATGGCAGGAATTTAGGAAGAAGGTTTTAGAGCTCTTCCCATATTTTCTGCAGCGGTCATATGCTCAACAGCCAGCCACCAAGACAAAATACAACTGCTGTAAGCTTTTCTCTCATTGCTCTTTCTATTATTGCTAAGCTAACAGTGATGTATATTATTCAGGGGCACAGGCACATGTAGTTTTCTACCTACAGTCCCTGTTACCACAGCCATTGTTTAGGGATTTATGGGATTTGTCGTCAAAATACATTTGGAAGACTGAGGTATTAAAAAATGGAAGAAGTGAAGGACACGCAAGTGAGAGGAGAGACTTCAATGCAATAGGCACATGCAAAAAAAGCACCAGATAAAGGAACTGTGACCCATTTAAAGGTTCTCTGGTACTAGCCCTCCCCTTTTAGACAAAGGTTTCTCCAGGGAGTTCTAAGTACTACAGTTAAAGGATGGAGAAATTTTGGCTACAACTCTCAAAATGCCATTTAGTATGGCCAACAGAAACGGGTTATGGGAGTCGTAGTTCAAAATAGCTAAAGATCAAAATGTTCCTGCATCCCTACCATAAATGCTCAGTTGAAGAGATGAAAGTGGACACATGGGAGAAGAATCCTGCTGTAAACTCCCCCTCCTTCATCAATTCAGCCAAGCAGCAGAAGCAGCAATTGCTATTTTATGCAAAAGTGGTTGCTACCATGGATTGCCTGCTTGAACTCCCAGGGAAATAGAGAAAATGCAAAGCTCATTGTCTATAATGTAAATGAATAGACAAATATTCATAATCCTTTGTGCTAAAACTGGAAAAGTGAGTGAAATCCATAAGCATTCAGGGTTAGAAACTGATTTGCACCCTTCAAGATTGATGGTAAAACTTACTACAGTCTCACGTACTTCAAAATAGTCACATCGGGCTTCTCCAGATAAAGGACAAGCAAAAAATTGCCTGCCCTTGTTTTCTCCGTCCTTCCTCACGATGCGAAGAACACAGAAACGGTTGTGTTTACTGCAGCGAGGGCTGCCAGCATTTAATGTACAAGAGCCATCTGTCATATTATCCGGAGGTGCTCTGTAATGACAGGTTACAAAATACACCCTGCATAATGTTAAATGCAATTAGTTTCAGCAGAGCCACCCCGTTTTACTTCCAAATTCACTTATTCTGCCTTCCTCCATGATCCACACAATCCTGCTCCTTTCACTCATATATGGATCAAAATACAGAATCTGGGTAACTGAAGGTGGGTGCCTTCTGTGCTCAAAATAAAATTGAAATATTCATTGGTGAATTTTTCAGCAGCTGAAATGAAATGCAAGTAGCAAATTTGCAGTTCCCCTTGGTTGCCTTGCCTCTTACTTCTATAAATGGCACTGTTTCAGTATTGCTAGCATAAATTCTGTGCCTTCATGTACTTTTAAAAGGAAGCGGGAGCAAAATGTACTAGAGAGCCAATTCCCTTCAATTATATTCTCCCCCTCTGGAAAGCTATGATGAGCATCTTAAACCAGACCATTGGGATCTCTTCCTACTTGTCCACTTCAGAGACAATTTTTCATGCTCTTTGATCAAAGCTAGTTTAATGATCCCAGTCATATTCCACTAAGGAGGAAGTCTGACTGGTGGGGCAGAAAAATGAATTTTATGAAGGTGGTGTGGGAAGCATCACTTTCCTCAGAAATTAGCATCACCAGAATAGTCAGAGAGCAATTCTCAAATAGCTGGAGAGCAACCATCTGCCTCCAACACACAAAGACATCTTCTTGGTGTTTAATGTTTAAACTAGATTTATTCTGCTACTTTAGCAGGAGCCTGCCTTTTTTGGCAAGCATGCTACACGTCACATTCAAAAAGCATTAGACATTATCATTTTATTTTCATCCACATCAAGCAATGTATCTCCTTCTCTTGCTTTCATGTGGCTTGAGATTTTGCCCAACAAGTTGGGGAGCAAGCAGCACAGGAAACACTGGCATGTATATATTTCTTATTGTACCATGGAAAGACTCATGGGTCTTCTTTCTAAAGCCAGTAAGACCCAGCTGTAATTTGGTTCCATGACACATGGCAACTACCACCCTTCTCTCACCCGCCCGTGTTACCACTCTTCTGAAGAAAGGAAAATTACAGTGACTTTTTACAATAGCTGTTTTTCTATTTCTCTCCTGTTAAAATGGTGTGACTCATGTTGGACACAGCTAAGCTGAGCACTCTCGTGTCTGCTATAACAATATCCTCAAGAACAGGTTCATCCCCACATTTCTTATCATGATCTCTGCTATTTATATAGGTCAAAAAGAATATATGAACTTGAGTGAGAGATTAAAAAAGGTAACTCTCAGGAATCAGTGCAGTCTTTCTGGGTGTTCTGCAGAAGTCACTGTATTTAAACTTAAGAATCTCAACAAACTCTTACATTTCAGAAGGGAACTATCCTGTGTAATTATTGAATTGGAAACTAGAAGCAATTCTGACACCATTAAACTACAGTTCAGTTGCTTCTAGGCGTGCATTACTCATGATCAAAAGGACCTGTTTCTCTTTAGCTACCTGTTTCTCCTGGTCAATCTTGCTGTGCTCGTTTGCCACATCAGTGCTTGATCTTATATCAAGCAGCCATCCTGATTGTGGGATTCTTGGTGCAGAAGGCCAAAAAAGTAACTTTTCTAAGCTCTGACACAAACATTGCTACATTCTTTGAGCACCTGATAAACTGGGCTTTGTGCCCCAACAGCTTAAACAGGGCCATCATTGAAGGCTGTTGAGGGAACTGCGCTAACAATCCTCCTTTTGTCATTATCAGTTTTAACAGTGAAAGAGGCTATCTGAAGAGTTTTGAGGGGACTGCTTTGTCTGGAGAGCCTCTCCACATAAGTAAGAACCCTGAATTTTCCATGTTCTGGCTCATATGAAAAGGCTACCCAGACAATTGAGCAACCTCATGTGTTGAAAACAGCAAATAAATGAGGCCAATGTGCTCCCTGAATATATTTCATATATAAACACCATATATTTAGATAATTTCTGCAGAAAGCTCTAGTGGGGCCGATCACTTGTATGTATCTTTTATGTATCTAGGTGGATATATTTAAAGGAGCTATGGGATACTATAAATACATTCCAGCTTTTTTAAAAATTGCATACTTTATATTGCTTGGTTTTAGTAAAAAATTCAAATTTTTTCAACTGGCTTTACAGGTTGAATTAGAGATGGGAGAAAAATGAAACATATCATATCGTGATTCTAAAACACACTAGACATATAATTCCTGTCCTCTTATCCTATATATATAAGTGTCCTCCCCGTTTGTACAGGAACATATTGTGTAAATACCCTTTGCCTTTTCTTCTGCTATCTTCTAGTTACCAATCTGTGCCTCACAACTGTCAATTTAATAAGCTGCCTGAACCACAAGCCACACAGTGGCATATAAGGACACAGCAATAGGCACAGTTGTTTTATGAGCTGGTACATGTTGTTATATTTTTATATTGATCCACATCAAAGGAAAGACATATTAAACTGAAAGCAAATGTTTTTCCTATAAGCCCCATCCTGTCCATCAATTTCTAATTTCATATATATGTTCAATGAGACACACTTTACAGAAACCTTATTTAGATCTAGAAATAGCAAACCTGCTTGTTAAATTCAAAGCGAAAGACCCAACGGAAGATGAATAATCAATCTTCTGTTTCTTCTGTGCCGGCTTTGAAGAATTATATTGATAGGAGAAAGGTCTTGGTGTATTTACTGTATTGTGATAAGTACTGTTATAATCATTTCTTGAAGAATCACACAGAGAGCTTCCATCTGGGGTGAGATTTTCACTTCCACGCTTTATCTGAACAGATTTACTAGCAAAATCTGTCAGTACCAGAGTTGTTGTTCCAAAGGCAGTCTTCCTGTTGATCTTAATTTCTGTCCTTGATTTTCCAAAGTTATTGCAGGGGTACTTGACTAGGTCACTGTTAAAAGGTGCTAAAGCTTCATTATTCGGAATGTTTTGAACTTCAAACAGATGGCAAGAAAGAAAAAATACAGTTAGCATATTCTTTGCACTACTGTTCATCCACTATGCTTTTGTCCTAAATTCACAGCATTGTACACATCACTAGGATAACAACAGGAGTGTGCTCAAACCAGCTGTAATAGTAAAAAATAAGCCCTGCCCAGGCATTTGCTTGAATGGGTGAAGGCTAGACAGAGGGCCAGAAAAAAAATGCAAGCATATTTTAATTCAAAAGTTGTTGCTTTAGCCAATCCCACCCTATTTGACCAGTTCCTCAGTCCCTTGCCGTGTTAAGCACAGAGACCTGACAGGATCTTCTCCTAATACACACTTAAATGCAACCGGTCTCAGTGCAGGCTGCTCCTGTAGACTTCCTAGATGGCCACATTTCTTATTCCAAGGTAGAGTCACATACATTTGTTTCCCAAGCAATTGTACAGTTTTTCCTCCATTCTAAAAGACCTTTTTTATTCATATCAGAGCATTCCATAATTCAAAATTATGGACATATATGAACTATAGATAAGGTTCAAACAAATTTAAAATGTTAAAAAGAAAGACTATTTTTGAGCAGAAGCAGGCCAAATAGCATTCAATAGGATTATCTTGGCCATTTAGTGTATCTTCTTTAGTACACGTGGTGGGGCATAAACTGCATGCACATAAATGCTGCACTAATTAAATTTCTCCAGTCACAGAAGGTGCAGTTACTTTCATTAAGGGCTTTAAGCTAAAAAATATGGTAAACTTTTTTTCTCCAACCTTTTTTTCCTTTGCCTCCACTCACTACTGAATTTGGCCCAAGGATAGAAAAAAGTTCTTGCTCACCTTATAGCCCTCACACTTTCAGACAATTGATTAAACTATGGGATTTTGGATGCCCAGGATGTTCCATAGAGGGTGCCTCCCAAGGAAAATCCCATCCTTGATGCTTTACAACTCCCAGGAAATACTAGGGCAGTTTTCTGTTTTTTCAAAGGAGAAGCACACAGATGGGAGCAGTGGCAGTACGGAAAGCTCCTTTGTCACCTTCTGGTTTTGGGATCCACCTCCCAGAATTTTGACTGTAAATCCAAATAATCCCTAAATCCCATCCTATTAATCAAGACTCCAGCCCATATTCTGCATCTAGCCAGACCAATGAGACTCATAAAAACATGGCAGCCAGATGGTGAAGCTCAACTAAAGGCACATTGGTACAATACCCAGGAGAGGAGAATGTAGATTAACCACTGAGGTATGTAATCTAGTCCCAATGCTTAATTTACCAACTATTAATTAATAAAGGAGTAGAAGGAAAGCCACAGGAAGATCAGCAACAATAAAGGAAAAATGGTATTTATTATAGGCTTGGAAGAAATAATTTGGCTTGCAACAATCTAAAAAAAAGGATGCTTTTTTAAAAAATGTAGATTTGTGGGATAAAGTTGCTTCACTTAAACATATTTTAAAGAAGGCTTCAGATGGCAGGCATTGGACTTTGATAATAGCTTAAAAGCTTCGCAACTGGAATGAAAGATGCAGAGAAAGGAAAAGAGCATTATCATGATTTAGTTCTAAAGCCCTAAGCTATCCTGCCTTTCTTGTATAGGGGCTGCTTCAACTTCTAGGTAACCAGCTGGGTGCATAAATTCCAGGAGAGAAGTTAATTGGCAAATCTGACTTTCTGAACAGACTAAATCTTAAGGTTCCTGGGGCTGGAGTTTTAGTAAAAGACAATCAGCTAGGCATACCTCAGCAGACAACAGAAGTAGTTATAAAACTGCTAATATAGTTGTTTGCCAACTTCTCTTGCTTAGTACTCCAGAAGGCCTAGGTCAGCATGTCTTTCTTCAATCCACTGATTGGACTTCACAATCTGTCAAAGCCCCAACTGGGAAAGGCTCTTCTACTTTCAAGAATTAACTAGACAGGAGGATTTTACTTCCTATAGCTTTTAGTGACTTTGCCACACTAATAGCTAAGCCCAATCCCTAAGAGAATGCACTGTTCAGGGGGTCAAATTAGATGTTAAGGGAAATTCCCAGTGTAGCCCATTTTCCCCTCACAAAGCAAAATTTCCCTACAGATACAAGCTTCAGCTATCACACTTGTTAATCATAAGTTTGCTATCCAAAGAACATTTTTTTTTAAAAAATATATGCTAAATGCAAACTCTAGAGAGGAAAACCACAAACCAACCACCTGAGGAAGCACCTCTTCTGAAAATTTATTTTAAAAACCTAGTTTTAACCAGTGAGACCATTAAAGAGGTACCGTCATGCCTGAAAGAGGCTGCCCAAGTGCAAACAAGGGCAGTAGCTTTTTAAGTGGGAGGGGGTAGCCATTTTACAATTACCCAAGGAAGTGAGTGGAAACATGAGGGAAAGTACTTGAAAAAATTACTGTTTTGAATTACAATTTTCAGAATTCCTGCCCAGCAAACTCTATGCTCCTGGGGGAATTCAGGAAGTTGTCAAGAAAAGTAACTTTTCTGGTCTCTAGTTCTACAGGTAACAATATGGATCAGCCAGGCAGAATAGGGACGGGATGACTAGCAGGAAAGGGGCTGTTGTATATTAAAGTGCCTGTTAGAAATATTGGGAGAAGCCTATCAGGAAGAAGGCTGGAGAGAAAAGGAAGAAGAGAGATTCATGAAAGAAAAGAGGAAGAATAACCACAATAGAGAAGTGGCGTCCTCCAAACATTTGAAGCTCAACACTGCTGCTGAAAACTTGCACTTTTAAGAAATGAAAGATGCTACCATGACAGAATGAATTAATCACAACCAGTTAAGTGGTCTGGACAATTTAGCTTTGTAAGACTCAATACGCACGCAGTCTTAAAAATCAGTTTTATTACAGCGTTTAACCACTTCGTGGGCACAGTAACTTTGTCTTTGAAATACCAACAGCACAGAGAGCATTTTTCCCTTCCAGCACTAAATGGGGAAAATCCCCCCCTCCTTACTAATGTATTCCCTTTCAATTTATGAAACATTTTGTCTGACAATTCAAGAAGTTGCTGAAATCTGCAAAAAGTACAAAGGTTCAACTGAATAATGCATGAAGCATAGGATGGGCTAACAGCTGTGAAAGTATATATTTGAGTTACAAAAGGAACATGGCATTATAGTGCAAACAGTTGTTCCCTAAGATGACAAGCTTCTGGGTTTACAATTCAGATTCTAAGAACATCTGCATCTGCTCAATGGCTATTTCATAACCCTTCCCCATCTTGGATTTTCTTAAAAGAGAATTTCCTCCAAACTTTCTTTCTGGGACGAAAGAAAAGAATGTCCCTGTCACCCAGCAATTCAACTCATATTCGTTACATTACTGGATATTATTAATTAGCAGCTGTGTGCTAGCATTCAGACTCTCCACATGAGCCAAAACATACACCCGTCAAATTAGGGTCCTGACCCATATGCAGAGCCTGCAAAGATACAACAGAATCCTTCTCTTCAGGCTATTCCTTACAAATGTTGAAAGTAATTGGGGGGTGGGTGGGTTCTACCATCATTGGCTCATTGTGTGACTCTCCACATGCTTTCAGAATGCCTGAATAGGGGTATAGTTATAGTATAAGAGTGGAAAGAAAAATATGTTCCGGGTTATTCACATGGTTGTAGTGCATTACAATGCCACATAGACAAGCACAAAACCTCCATCGTTACCTACCTTTGGGCCTTGGAGTCAAGCATGCACCACAATTTTTTTCAGAAGGTTTGTTTATTAGAGTGCAGAGCGTACAGGCCCACTTCTCGTCCAATTTCTGAGTGACTTGTTCTTTAGAACATGACCTCCTGCTGTATGCCCAGCCAATTAAACTACTTCTTCCTGGCAGTTTGCTGTACATTGAAGGAAAGATGAAACTGATGTTAACGTTTTGAGAGGCTGTTGGAATGTTGTGCTTTGTTAGGTTTTTATGGAAGATACAAGCCTGGACTATTAATAACTTGGCCGCTGGCAAGGAAAGAGCTATGCTGCTATGTCTACACCCTTGGAGGTTTGTGTTTGGTCTTACAAGTTTGTCTACCTAACTCATTAGTAAAGTTTGATGGACTGTTAGCAATTCAATTCATATTTGTTACATAACTGGGTATTATTAATTAAGAGCTATGTACTAGCATGAAAAGCATGGTTTCAAATGAAAGCTGGCATTCCAGATACCAAACTCTGCTCGACTTATTCTGCAGCATGGCCAGCACTGACTGGGGGATTCTAGGAACTGTTGGCCAAAAATGTAACTTATCCAAGCCTTGAGCAGGCCTCTGAATTATTAGATACTGAATTATTAGAGACAAAGCCACTGTTCACATGTACAACTTGAGCTCTTCCCATAAGCTTCTAGGTGTGAAACTACATGAAACAAGATGCTGGACAAGATACATATTTAGTCTGATCCAACTCAGCTTTACTGAACTCTCTTCCACAGTAAATATTGTCTGAACAGAAAATACTAATTTTCCCACTCCCTCTGCATCTTAGATAAGTTCTCAATAAAAGCTTGTTTCCTGGTGATCTCAGTAGGTATCCTCCTTCTATAGCTTAACAAGCTGAAATCCTGCTGCCTGAACTATTTTGCATGAGAGAAATAAGAATAAAATAAGATATCTGTGTGGCTCCCATAGCAAATGTGTTTTTAAACCCTCTGATTCAGAAACAGAGCGGGAAAGAAAACCCATACATTGTCATAAAAGTAACCACCCTGGATTTCTAAGAGGAAAGACAAGATAAATGTGTTTCAAAATAAAATGTATGTGGGGAACTCACCACACAATCTTATGCATCACTCCTCAGAGATAGGTCCCGCTGAATTAAATTGTGTTTGCTCATTAGTAAGTGTGTACAGGATTGTGCTGGCTGGCTAGCTCAATGAGTTAGGTATCTGGTTGTAAAGATTGAGAGTTTGATTCCACACTGTGCCTCCAAAGATGACAGCCAACCTGTGTAATCATGTTTTATAAAGGAAAGGATTCTACCTTGGATCCACAAGCTGTGGATTGTCCTTTTGGCACTGAGGACAGAAGTACGTCATTCTGTTATTCTCTCCCAAACGGCACACTGTGATCTTTCCTCTGCATTGACCACAACTAGGGCGTTTGTACACTTTGTAATGCTTATATAATGCTGATCCTGTCTTGCGACACTAGAATAGAGAAAGAGAGGTTACTTACCGTAACTCTGGTTCTTTGAGTGGTCATCTGTGAATTCACACTAATGGGTTTAGTCTGCGCTTGCGCAGAGGTTTACGGAATCTTCTAGAGCTTAAACATTGTTTGCTAGGACTGCCCCCACAGTACACCTGGTCCGCCCATCCTGGCAAGTGCCTCAGTTCCCACAAAGTCCACCGCTGTGTAAAAACTGCGACATGACGGACAAAGGGGAGGATGGGTGGGAAGTGTGAATTCACAGATGACCACTCAAAGAATCAGAGCTAAGGTAAGTAACCTCTCTTTCTTCTTTGTGGTCTCTGTGAATGCCCACTAATGGGTGATTAACAAGCTTACCTGCTCGGAGGAGGAACATCATGGAAGAACAGCTGATAAGACTGCTCGTTCAAGTGCTGAGTCCGACTTTGCCCGGAGGTCTAAACGATAATGGGTGGCAAAGGTGGGTGGAGTGGACCATGTGGCAGCCCTGCAGATGTCAGGGACCGAAACGCCTCTAAGGAATGCTGCAGAGGCAGCCATTGCTCTTGTGGAATGAGGCTTAATTCCAACAGGAAGAGGCTTTTTGGCTAACTGATACGCAAGTCACATGGTTGCCACAATCCATTTAGATATGGTCTGGGAAGAGACATTTAGCCTATGTGGTAAATGCAGGTAAATAAAGTCGTTGAGACTTGCGGAAGGAAGCAGTTCTGGAAACATAGAAAGCCAGTGCTCTACAAACATCCAAGAGGTGGAGAGAGCATTCTAGGTCAGTAGTTGGTGATGGAAAAAAGGAAGGTAAGACAATAGGCTGTTTAAGATGGAATTCTGAGACAACTTTAGGGAGGAAAGAGATATCCGGGTTAAGGGTGATTTTTATCGGGGTGAAATTGAAGAAATGAAGCATCTACTTGGAGAGCAGCAATTTCTGAGGCTCTATGAGCAGAGGTAATGGCCACCAGGAAGACAGTTTTAAGAGCCAAGAGACGGTCGGAAGTCGTGGCAAGGCGTTCAAATGGAGGCAGCGTAAGCCAGTGAAGGACAGTGTGCAAGGACTATTGCGGAGGAGGAAGTGTCCTCGTAGGTTGGAAGTTGGACATCCCCTTAAGAAACTGTTTCATGGTAGGGTGCTGAAAAAGCGTAGCGGAGTCCAAACTGTGTGGTTGATGGGCTATTATAGCTGATAGAGAGACCTTGAGTGTAGATAGAGAGAGATGTCTATTGAATAAGTAAGAAATTGGAGTACAGTGTGAGGTGTTGTAGGTGCAGTAGAGAGATGATGCTGAGATGCAAACTTGATGAAGGCAGACCATTTGTAGGCATAGAATTTGGTGGTAGCGGGCTTTCTCACACTTCCCCAAATAGCAGCTACAGTGGGCGAATCCTCCACGCTGTAAGATGGAGCGTGTGAAGATCAGGGTGAAAGGTTAAGCCATGATTTTGAGTGAGGAGATGTGGAAGGTTGGGAAGACGGATATAGTCTATGGAGATTGCTTGGAGCATGGTGAACCATGGCTGTCTTGGCCTCCATGGGGCAATGTGGATTGCGTTGGATTGTTCTTGTTGCAAGGAGCCTCGTGGCGCAGTGGTTAAACCGCTGTACTGCAGCCAAAACTGTGCTCACGACCCGGGGTTCAATCCCAGGTAGCTGGCTCAAGGTTGACTCAGCCTTCTATCCTTCCGATGTCAGTAAAATGAGTACCGCCCAGAGAGTGCTTGAAGCAATATGGGGAGGTATATAAGCAGCACACTTTTTTTTGCTTTAAGCAAAAGGCAGCATGCTTTGATGATTGTCCTGAGGAGGAGGGGGATGGGAGGGAAGAGATAGATCAGGTCTGGTGTCCATGGTATCATGAGGGCATCGCCGAGGGAGCTGGAGCCAATTCCTGCTTGGGAGCAATAGCGGGGGCATTTTTCGTTTTCTGCAGTTGCAGAAAGATGTCTATGTGTGGATGTCCCCATAAGTTGGAAAGATGATGGAAGATGGTATCGTTGAGGGACCACTCATGCATTTGAGTGGTGCGCCTGCTCAGGGAATCTGCAAGCTGATTGTGGTGAGTAGAAACGTGAATTGCTATTGGGAATATACAGTATGGCATTTGAGGCCTCATTCCCAGATCTGTACTGTGAGATAGAGAAGTGGAAGAGAATGAGTGACAGGTGATATAGCGTCCCTTGATAGGAGGAATTGAGCCTCGAGGTTGAGAGTGGGAGAAGGAGCTGTGAGAACAGTCCTTGGCTGTGGAAGGGTGACAAATTCTATGGCGTAACTGACTGCGATGATAGTAAGGAGCCATTTGTCTGTGATGATGGTGGCCCAAGAAGAAAAATGAGTTGTGAGACGAATTAGATGGAACTGTGGAGAATGAGGAGGGAAAAATCAAGCAAAACAAAAGTCAAAGACTCTGTTTTGGTTTCTCGTCAGGTTGGCAAAAAGGTTGGCGTGGATGTTGGTGTTGAGTATTATTGCAAGGTTCAAACGAGGAAGTGGAGTGAGGTAAGTATCTCCGTTTGTCACCAAAAGGTCTGTATTGCTGAAAAGAGTATGATCGTCACCACTGATAGTGTTGTGGTCTATAGTAAGATTGAGAATTATAAGATCTAGCGGTTTTCCTCATCTTTTGGAAATTGTCAAGAATCTCATCCATTTTGGTATCGAAGAGACCTACTCCATCAAACGGTAGATCTTCAATACGCATATGGGAATCGTCAGAAATATGGGCTGAGTGAAGCCAGGCATGTCTCCTAAGAGCAATGGCAGTGACCATGTACCTTGAAGCAGCCTTGATGACGTGTCTGGCAGCGATACGCTCTTGGTGGGCTAATGCGATGGCTTCTTGATGAAAGGCTAGGCCTCTCGCTTTGTATTCACCTGCTGCTGATTGAAGAGAAGGGAGTGCCTTGTTCCACAAGAACCTCTGGTATGCTCCCATGGCTGCCAGATAGTTTGCAGCACGGAGGGTAAAGAAGGTGAGAGAGTATATTCTACATCCAATAATGTCTAGTTTCCTGCCCTCTTTGATATTGCATTACAGCGATTCTTGGCTCTATTCTGAGTTGCATCGACAATGACTGAATTAGGTGGTGGATGTTAGAAAGGAAAGCCTTATTGTCACCATGAGTCTTATATAGATCTTCGACTCGTCTCGAAATCTGTGGGACAGAGGATGGTTTAGACCAGGTCTGCTTAATTAGCGTAAGAAGCGAAGGAATAAACCCCATTCGGAGAGGGGGGTGTTTGATCCTCATTGATATCTTCATAAACCTTGTCTAACTCGGACTGGACTGGTTCATGTACATCTAGATACATTGCTTTCACAATACACAGGACCAGTTGGAAATAAGATGCAAAGTCCTCTGGTGGAGAAGGAAGGTTCACATCTGCCACATCAGAGTCCAGTGTTGGGAGATTAGGTGGTGACTCAGGTGGTACAGAAGAGTCAGAAGTATCAGCATCGGAGGATCGTGAGGAAGAATGTTGGGATAAAGAGGTCACCTCATCAAGTGGTGCAGCTTGTAGAGATTTGGATTTGGTGGTGTCTGTTTTGAGAAGGGAGGAATGAGGTGCAGATTGGCAAGTCTTTGGATGTTTAGAGCAATGTGAATGAGCGATATGAAGCGAGGTAGGTAGAGGGCCAGCATAGGTGGCAGTAGCCTGGAGTGATGGAGCGGGTGCTCGAGTATGCGAGGCAGTGTCTGTTTTGTTGGTCTGAACCTTTGGAGATGACTTAGATCGCTTTGGTACTGGCGGCTGAGTAATAGGCTGTGAAGGAATGTGTTTCCTCTTGCAAGATGATGCTTCGGTACGAGGGATGGAGGTGGAGAGTCTTCTGTGGAAGAGGATTGTTGGTACCAAGAATGGTACTGAAGAGATTCAGAATCTGAGTCGGAATAGTAGGAAGAGTACTGAGGTCATTTTGTTTCCATATAAAAATCCATAACCGGATTGTCAATACCGGTGTGGTGACATCCGATAATATGCGGGTGGCTCGTACAGAGTAACCCTCTTGGGATGACAGTACCGTGTAAGAGAATCATGGGATGCAAGTGGTGTGGTGACATCCGATATGTGGGTGGCTCGTTCAGAGTAACCCTCTTGGGATGATGGTACCGTGTAAGAGAATCATGGGATGCAAGCAAACCCGTGGACTCCTGAGGACATGAGGCTTCGACATCCGAAAGACAAGTCTTTCAGCTGACGTATTATGTGTCTTCCTGATAAGCTTACACGGAGGATGCAGATCAGGCAAGTTGGACTCTGAATCCGACTGACACATGGAGATGGAGCAACCCGAAGGGCTTGGGTGGTCATATTGAGGAAGTACAGTAACCTCAGCCAAGGTATTAGCTCACGAAGGAGACTATGCCAGCAAGGGAGATGGCAGTTGTCCTGAAGGTGGGGGAAGATAGTCATCATCGTTAAACTATGCCAGCAAGGGAGATGGCGGTTGAAGGTGGGGGAAGATAGTCATCATCGTTGATGGAGACTGAGTCAACACAAATGGTCTGTTGGTCCTGAATAGGGACCGAAGAGGGCACTTTATCCTTTTGATGTTTAGAGGATTGTAAAGTAGACGACGACTTCTTAGGCTTCTTCAGTTTCGACTTCAGTGTCGACTTAGGGGTCAAGCCACCCACCCTAGGTTTGGAAGGCAGTTTCGCTTTAGATTTAGACTTAACTGAGGAGGCCACTGAAGCATCCGGAGATGGTAGTTGAGCTGGAGGCAGCTGTGCAGGCTCCACAGCCAAAGTAGGGCAAAGAGATATTTCCCACAAATAAGATCGTAGACACTGCCATCTCAGTTTAAGAGCTTGTTTAGTAAATTTCTTGCAAATGGAGCAAGAGGTTGACTGATGGGATTCACCAAGGCAAAAGAGACAAGCATTGTGGCCGTCAGTAAAGAGGATTTTACTTTCTGCCTTTCTACAATTTGATTATCCTCCAGCTTTCAACTTACAGTTACATCTTAGAAAAGTGTAAAGTCAACTTGTTATCACAACATGAATAGATTGGATGATTGTATACTTTGTGTTCTCCAACCCCCCCAACCCTATCCCTTTTTTTTCTTCCCCATACCATATTTTACCCTCTGTATTCCCTACCCTATTCTTAGTTGTTAAAAAATAATTTTTTAAAAAAGTAAAGGGGATTTTACTACGGCACAAAGTGCACCATTTAAACAGTGCAGAGGAGGCCATAAACTAGCAAAAAACAAGAAAAAGGGATAAAAGGGGGGTGGCAAGGGCGGTAAAACAGGAAAAATCTCACAGAAGTCCCTTTTGAACACGCTAGCGAACGGAGCTCATCGGAGAGAAGAAACCTCAGCGGTGGCAAAAAGGAACTGAGGCACTTGCCAAGATGGACGGACCACGTGTACTGCAGGGGCTGTCCTAGCGAATAATGTTTAAGCTCTAGAAGATTCTGGAAACCTCTGCGCAAGTGCAGACTAAACCCATCAGTATGCATTCACAGAGACCACAAAGAAGAATTAGTATTCATGTGACTCATGTGCTTGTCAGAAAGACAAGCAGTGACATTAGCAGTTCTGACACTTTGTAAACTGGGGGTGGGGGTGTACACCTAATAATGGTAAAATGGTAGGGAATGCACCTTCAAGTTCCTCAGTCCACTGGCCCTGCATATCTAGCAGTATAACTCAAGATACCTCTACATTTTTAATGTACTGAACAATAGATTGAGGGCTAATTATCAGTTCTTGAATCAGTGGTGCTTAACTGCTGAATCTATGAAGTTACTGAAACAAACCTGAAAAGGGACATGACGCCACCACTTCAGGACTAAACCAGTAGAGAATGTAGATAGAGGAAGCACTATAAATACTGTCCATAAGTACTCTTCCTCTCATTCTCTCTTTCTACAAACATCACAGATATGTATACACACCAAAAAGTTAGCATGTTGAAGATCAGATTAGACTCCATTTTCAGCATACCGTATTTTTCCGTGTATAAGATGCCCACCCCCACTTTTCTAATCCAACATTTCTTTCTTTGCAAGATAGTGGAGGGGGAAAACAATTCCTGCTTTTCCCCTCCACATTTTGCAAAGAAAATGGAGGGGGAAAATGATTCCTCCTTTCCCCCTACATTTTATTGCAAAAAGCATCTTTCTCCCTCCATGTTTTGCAAAGAAAGTGGAGGGAGAAAGCGATTCCTCCTTTTCCCCTCACTTTCATTGCAAAGTGTAGGGAAAGCTACTTTTTGTAACATTTTATTTGCAAAACGTGAAGGAGGAAAGCAGAGATCAAAGCACTTTGATCTCTCCACTCCTTACTTCCATGTATAAAATCACCCTCAATTTTTCCTTTTAATTATTTTAGGAAAAAAATGTCATTTTATACACAGAAAAATACGGTATATCAACTTTTTTGAGGGACAGGATTTCTGACACCTGATGGCATTAAATAATGCAGGTCTCCACCCATGCTTCTTAGTGGTTCTGCTCTGTCCACTTTGTCCCATATACAGTGGTGCCCCGCTTGACGACGTTAAGCCATTCCGTTAATATCGCTGTTAAGTGATATTGTCAAGCGAAAGAAAAAAACCCATTGAAATGCATTGAAAACCGGTTCAATGCATTCCAATGGGCGAAATACCTCATCGTAAAGCGAAGATCCTCCATAGGGGAAGCTATTTTCGATCGCTGGGTCCAGAAAACAGCGGGCGGCTATTTTGAAAACCCGACGATCAGCTGTTTTTGATCATCGGGAAGCGAAAAATCGGTTCCCGAAGAAGGGAACCGATTGTCGTGAAGCGGATTTTCCCCACTGAAATATCGTTTTGCGATCGCAAAAACCTCATCGTGAAGCGATTTTGTCGTCTACTGGGGTGATCATCAAGCGGGGCACCACTGTAAAAGTAACTCCAATAAAAATCTCTAATTCCCTTCAAATTTAAAAGGCCCAAGAACAAATATTTTCCTCTGGATTCCACGAGCTTTTCCAATCACCCAAGGAAGCATCATCAGGGCAGGCAAGTATTGTTTTCAATGCTTCAAATTTTGTTTAGTAATACATATACTGTACTATATTCAGCCTTTAAATTTTAATGCACATGTTGCATATCTCTTGAGAAAAGATATTCTTCCCTACCTTATAAAAAAGTAGAGTGAAATCACGAGTCATTTTCACCAAGAGATGTACTTGTTCATCTGTTAACTGGCAAGCCTGTAATTTGAAATGAAAGTTTAAGAACAGCAGTGAAGCATTCTGTAAACAGGAAGCATGTCCCAAGCCATGCTGTGGCATACTTTGAGCAAAGAAGTGCTTATGTTGAGGAACCCATCTTCAGAACCTACACCGATAGTAATAGCAAAACACATTTTAATGCTGAGATACTATGCACACTTATGCTCCACTCAAATAAAACACCACAACACATGAGTCTACATGCACAGGACAGCACTGTGAATATGACAAACAAAAATGCCACAAACCTTTGTCTCATTTGCCAAGTAAAAGGGCCCCAAGGTTGCAGTACTAGTAATCTTAATTCCTGTTAAAGAATGGGTACCACCTCTAATGCATTTCCCCAGATCAACTTTTAGGAGGAATCTGATAGAAACTCCAGACAAATATTCTCAGCAAGGAATGGACATATAATGCAGAAGTGCAATCCTGGATAGGTCTACTAGAAAATAAATGTTGGAATTCAGCAACCTGCATGTAATGCCCTTAAAAGGTTTGGATGGGAGGGAATCTTTGGGTTAAATGTCAGTCACTTAGCACCAGCCAATTGTTCCCTCTATACCTCAGATTCTTTTTCTAGTCAGGGTTCTATGTCAGTTAGATTCAGTTAGCAATGTCAGTGTCCTAAGCATGACAGTTATGGAGCCAGCAGTTAAGAGTCTGATTGAAGTGTTTATATAATCCAGAGGTCTCAAAACTACAGCCCACATCTGGCCCACCTTGCTGTTTTACCCAGCCCATTCTTCAGTCCAAGTGCACAGGTGCATCCATGGAGGGGGTTGTGGATGTGCATGCATCTGTCCGTGCGGGGGGTGCATGTGCATGCTCCTTCGGCCCTTTAAAATGTTGAAAATATACAATGTGGTCCTCTTGATCAAAGGTTTGGAGACCCCTGATATAACCAGTCAGATACTGTAGTCCAGAGGTCGTCAACCCCCGGTCCGCGGCCCATTGCCGGTCCGTGGCTTGACCCTGACCGGGCCGTGAATACAGACCTCCCACCAGCCCCCCCTCCCCCGCACGCACTCAGAGCAGCAGGGGCGGGGGTAG